TTTTTTTTTTTTTTTTTTGTTTTTTTTTAATTTTATTTTTAAAGCCAGGCAAACATGGACCACAGCGAATGACAGCTCTGCAAACACTATATTAAATGTAAAGTGCTGAGATCCTGCACTGCATGAAAGGGGAGAAAGTTACTTAATCTGACTCGAGTGGAAACAAATTACCGAGATTACATTGGCTGCAGTGAAGACTAGTGAACGCTCTGGCATAAGGCAGTGCAAAGCTAATTAAATATTTAACACTTGAAAGCAGAACCAGCAAAATGTTATGAAGGTATTATGATAAATATGGAAATAACTGTAATCACCTGCCTAGCTTGTTCAGGCAAACTTGTTTGCTTCCTCTTCCTCGTTCCATACCCATGAGGCTGGCTGGAAAAAGGGAAGCTTCAATTACTCATGCATTGGACCCAGAGGACTGGATACTGGATTAGTATGAGAAATGCCTTCCGAGGTAACCGAGCAGCTGCAGAGAGAACCACTTGTGCCAGAAGCTATATACTGTCTCCACAGCAGTGCGTTGGACCTTTTGGCGAACATCTGCCCAGGTTGGGGTCTGTAGTGTAGTCTGGTGTTAGCTTTTCTCGTCCTTTGCATACACGCCTGAAAAAACCTGGAAGCAGAAGAGAAACGTCTCTGTCTCTGTCTCGTAAAGCTATGTGTCTTACCGGTGTGTTCAACCACCTTGGAGCAATGCTTGTGTTCTCCTCCAATGGGCAGAGCAAAAGTCCCTGTGGGCCAGGACACTCTCTTTCTGGGACTTTGCCCCAGTTCAGGCAGCTAATTCACTTCACATAAGCATTTAGTTTAAGGCTTGAGGATTGTCATTGCCCTGATACATAGTCAGATGGTCTGGTCTTGTTCAGGCAGTGATTTTTTTTTCAACTTTTTTTTTGCATTATTTGACCCCTAAAAAAATTTCCATTGGAGGTGCAGACCCCTTCAGAAATTTTGAATTGCAAGCGTGGCTATATGATCAATCACATACATACTTTTAGTTGATCACAGTCCTCTTTCATAGACCCCGCCCCCGCCGGGCCTGTGGGCCACAGGTTGAAAGCCACTGTGCTAGGACGATGCCTATCTCTTGAGGATGCCCTTGAGGGCTAGTGGACTTGGGACTCTAGGCTTGCCAACAAGCTGTTGAGCTGAAGGCATGCGATGCAGCCTGTCCTGTGACTCCTTGTTGTGGTTTACTAGGGTATAACATTTTGTAACCCTTTCCCCCTGGGGCTGGCTGGATGCTGTGCACAACAGACCTTGCCAGCCCAAAGCCAAATGCAGAGCAGCTGTTCTGTCTGCATCTTTTAAAGCAGTTTCTCAATCTGGCTTTTCGTATTAATGTTTGGGTGAATACTGAGTTCTTCCTCCATGTGTCTCGGTGGGGGGGGAGGGTTGTGTTGGGTAGCGCTAGCGGTGCAACTGCATGGAGTCCCAAGCTGGTCTGGGGTTCCTGTTTTGTGGCTGGCTGAGCCTGGGCCCAAAACTGAACCTTTTGCATGGTGCTCCTGCAACTTTTGCTCCTCATCAGTGCTGCACCTGCCTCGTACTAAATGAGGCTTAACAAAACTCCAGTCACCTGTTGCCAGCAAGTGACACAACCAGACACTTTTTCAAGAGCAGGAAAATGAATGATCCCATCAAGCTTGTCCTCATGGGTAGGCAGATGTAGCAGGGAGCTGCAAGGAAAGATTAGATGCCAGGGACTGATTAGAGCAGGGAGGGTTTGTGGGGTTAGGAGTAAAAGGAACAGCTTCTTGCTGCTTGGCTGGCTCCAGTTAAGAGCTTGACTTGTGTTGTTAAAAGCAAGTGGTTTTCAAAACCACTAATTGTTTTTGACTTGGTAGCTTTCCAGCCTCTCTCTTTTTTTCTTCCATCTCAAACTCCCCTGCAGAGGGTATAAAACCACACGCCCAGCCACTTGCTTTTTGTACTGTTATTTATCTTCTAAAATAAGGGGGGGGGGAACTGCAGCACAGGAAAACCCCTATTAGTGCAGCCACTCGCAAACTGGGCTGGTTCCAGGCACTGCTGGAAGAGGCCTGACAATAACTAAGAAACCAGCCCAGGCCTCTGCCTTTGAATCATGCTTGTCCTGCAGGAAGAACTTAGACTGCAAAGCAGCCCCACAGATTTACCAGGGCTATGAGCTTTCCTGTCTGGTGAAGGAGGACCACTGCACAGGAAGCTGGTTAGGGTTTTCAAAGGTTGTAGACACTGGTCTTCTGTCATCATCTCTTTGGGAAGAGAACTGAGGGGCAAAAACCCAGGGAAGGACTTTCCAGCATGGGTCTGCTGTGTGAAGCAGAGGGGAGGGGGTATAGCTCCCGCATGGTAACACTGGGAGGTATTGGAGGTCCCCATCACTGCACCCATCCTCTGATCCCTTCCTTGTGCTGTGGGGCCACAGAGCACATGGTAGCTGCATGGCAGTGCTACAGACGGCTTCCCCCCCACCTCGCACCACCCCAGGGGGCTGGCCAGGTGTGCTAGCCAAGAGGTGGGAGGGCAGGACAGTGGGTCCCCACATCCTCTGTACCTCCCCTGGGAAATGAAGGGGCAGGGGCTACAATTCTGAACGATGCTTTTCTGGGCCAGGCCCATTGGTGCCTTCAGCTTGGGGCTAACTCTGGAAACTGCCTTGGGTTTTGGGTGTCTGGTTTTAGATTTGCAGGGCATGCTGTCTTTAGAGGTGCTAAGCACCCATCTTGCCAAGTAGAAATGTGGTAAAGCAGCCTTGAAAGTCAGGCCCAAAGTGTCTCCAGTTGGACTTCCAAAATCAGAAGCCTGGCTTGGACAATTCAGCCACGTTTGTATGCTCAGGACACTTCTCTGGGGCTAATTGGCTTCACCTGCATTTAGAGGTGGAAAGAGCAGGGGAAATGAAAGGCCACACGCTGACAGAACCAGAACTGCAACCTGGGAATCCCTGGCTCCTAGGTCTATGCAGCTCCACTAAAGCAATTGGCCCCCGACTTCTACAAAGACAATCTGAACAATACTGGGCCAGGGGTTTTCAACCTTTTTTTTTTTTTTTTCCAGAAGTGTACTCCTCCTGGTGGTGGCAGCCAGATGTGGTGCAGGGGGGAAAGGGCTTGCACGCAGCAGCCACCACCACTCACCGCCCCACGATACCGCCACCACATCCCACTTTCCTGCGGCTGGTCACACATGCAGCTCCATGGGCTGCTGACAGGCCTCATGCCTGGCCAGTTACATGCTGCCTGTCAGTGGCCCATGGAGCTGCGTGTGTGACCGGCCGTGGGAAAGCTGCGCTGGGTGGTGGATGGCGGCAGCAGCTGCTGCGTGTGAGCTCTGTCCCCACCTTCCCCGGCCCTGCTCCTGGGAGGTGGAGGCATGGGGTAGTGGGTGGTGGTGCTCCATCCTTGCCCGCACACACGTACCCCCCTAGGACCCTTCCAAGTACCCCTAGGGGTATGCGTGCTCCCAGTTGACAACCCCTGATCTGTGTGAATGGGCTTCTTAAACTGATAGGAAAGGTGCAGTATGGATGTGTGGGGTGGGAGTGAGAAGACAGACTCCAAGCAGGGGCAGGAGCATTCAAGCCCCTGTCTCCACTACAGCCATGTCTGCTAGCTCTGTGAAAGAGGCTGCTGTTGGACAGGTGGTCTGAGTGTGGGGACTGAAACAGTTCAGCCCAGCAGGGCCAAATCTATCCCACAGGACCCAACAACCACCATCACTTAAGCATCAGTAGGCCCTGCAGTGTGGATGTGGCATTAGGCAACTTAGTGTTAAACTGTCTTAGCCTGTGCTCTTGCCTCTGATCTAGCGAATACTGCTCTGTGGGCCAGAGGGCAGGGCTGAGCAGTGAGGAGGAAGCCTGTTTCCACAACTTGGAGGTGGTCACCCTGACCACAGACCAGCTCAGGCCTGATGTTGTCTGGGCTGCACATGATATTTTAACAGAACCTTGGTGTGGGGCTCTGTCTCTGTCTCTGTACTTCATTTAATCCCCTTGCTGTATTTATTATCTTGCAAGCTTGCCGCACACATTTTATAAGCTCTTTTAGGACTCTTTCTTTAACTCCCTTCTTTTCCTGGCTGTAGGCTAAACATAGACCTGGTTTCTCTGCTTATTTATATCCTCTGTTTCCCAGACTGGAATCTCCAGGTTTAGCAAGAATTTAAGTTTACCTCTCATTATAGGGACTTTTTTAGCAAACTTTCCAGCTGCCAGGACACAATGCAGGCCAGTTGTCATGCGGCTGCTGGACCAGCTCCTCACAGACGAAACATCCAGCTGATGATGACCTTGATGAGGCAAAACTCAGCTGACGCGAGCCCTTCACAGCTGCTGAACTAATTTCTGCCTCTTAATTCCTGCTTTGCTGCCAGCAGAAGGCTCTTTTAAGAGGAAGCTAATTGCCAGTTGCGATTTTCGTAAAGATATATCAGGCTCTGCTCCAGTCTCACTCACTCCAGTTTCTGCCCTGGTGTAGCTCCTTGTTCACGGGGTGGGCGTTTGCTGGGAAATGACCCGCACACATCTGCACGGCCTAATCCCTGTGTGGAGGGACTGGAAGTACCATTGATTTATTTAATGGCTTTTCTTGGCTCAAGTCAGTGAGTGCAGTAGTGTGAGGAACATTTTTGTTGCATTTTCCAGGGCGTACCTGGGTCTCATTTCTGCCTCCCCTGGGGGGAGATCTTCAAATTGGGGACAATCTCTTAGCACTCGAGAGGCTCTTGGCCCTCTATTCATTCTGGGCCATGTGGTTTACGGGCTTGCAAAATGGTAGCTGCCTTCTTGACTTTCCTAAATCCGAGCTGTTCTCTTCTTCAAGGTTTGCTAGGCAAAACTCACCACCTCTGAAAGAGGAACTTGCAGCACTGACTAAATACTTTGCATTTAGCTAATGCTTTGTGTAGCCCTTCTCCTGCAAAACAGTCTACAGACATGAACAGATCCTCAAATGTGTGTGAGGAGCAGGATGCTGCTGTTTGTATTCTGCATGGTTCACAGATGGGGTAACTTTGCTGGAACCAGTCTGCTGATGCAGCTGTACTGGGAAGCACTGCTTGTGTAGATGCAGTTTATCTTCCAAATGCAAAAATCCAGCTTCATGGGTGTAGCTCAATTTGCTTCCCCAACCAAAGTTAACAATATGAATGAAAAGCATTTTTGTTGTTGTTGCTTAAGCTGCGTCTGTGTTAAAGCTGAGAACAACGTAGGAGTTATGCTCAGTTAAACTGGGTCCCTAACCACTGTTACTAAACTAGTCTAAATTGCTGGTGTAGATTTGACAGCCTGGGGTGGCTTGCCCAAAATTGCACCTCCCAGTCAGCTACGTAGTGGTAAAGCATTTAATCTTGCATTGACTTAACGGGGCCACTCAGTACTGCCGACTGGGAACATGTGCTTAATTGCTCTGGCAGATGTGGGGAGGATCCGGAATAGAAGTTGGGTGTTGAGCTCACTTTGCACCGTGCCAGCTTTTGCCAGTGGTGCTGCCAGTGCACCTGCCCATCGTTAATTTTAAACTGGGGGGGATGGGGGGTAATTAAAACACTTCCAGGAGCAATTGTCATGCAGTTGAATGGCTTGCATGCACACAAGCTTGCTCCAATTCTTGTTTCATGTGACTCATAGCTTTGGCTTTGCTTGACATGGGAGCTGTTCACAGTTGTTAAAACAAGAATTGGGGAGTGCATGGAGAGGGAATCTGCCTCTTCCGCAGCCAAGCTGAGGTAGCTGCCGTGGGCAGGAATAGCTCCACTAATGCCAAGTGTTTGGGGGGGAATAGTGGGGCCAGCGTGTCCTAAAATGAGTGGAAGTAATGGGTCTTCATCCCAAAGAAGTATTGCCTTTCTCGCCGCACAAGTTTGGTGTTTTCTTAAGAGAAGCTTATTGCCCTGGACTTTTACAAGGATGGCCGTATGTGAGCTGTGAGCGCCTAGCCTGGGGAGTTATCCGATTTCAGGTCTGCCAGCACTGGAAAACTTTCTCCTCCCAGAGGCTGAAACATTTGGGGCTTGTTCCAAAGATTACGCCACCAGGAAAACCTGTGCCTGTCTGGGTGAGGCGTGCGAACAGTTCTCCATGGGCTAAAAAGGGAGCGGGACTTACTGTGCACCAGCTGCCCCATCGTAGCTGCCCATGTGTGTGCCCACCCCGAGGGCAGAGGAAGGTAAATGATGGCAGCGCCATGATTTATTTAGCTTTCACGGGGAGAGAACGTGCATGTGTGTAGTCATCGTGGAGCAGCCGACGCATTGTAAACCCCTGCAGTAAATTGCTCAGATGCCGACTTATCCCAGGACTTGCAGTGAAGGGGGTTTTGAAGTCCTGGTTCCTCTGGGTTATTCCTTTTAGTTTTTGAAAACATTAGGAAGAGACTTTTTCTTACAGAGGAGTGTTTTTTAGGGTCTGGAGTCCTAGGCATATGAAGGGGGGATACCTTGAAGGAATCTAACTCCCCTCCCCTCTTCAAAATTGTTGGTGCCTATCTTCTAGAAATTGGGTTTCCTTAAGGCCCTGGATGGTGCATGTCCCATGTCACGTGAACATGACCTTGTCCTGAATGTTTCTCGTCCTCTTTGGGGCTAAATCCATTCCTGGAGGGGAGAGCAAAGGCAATCTTCTTCTATTTAAGCCAAATCCTTCAGTCCACGGCGAAGCAGTTGTCTGAGCATGTGAAGCAAGGACTTGATGCTTGTTCTGAACATGTTGTTTTTTCTTTGGGGTTGTTGTTGCTTGCAGGATAGAATAACTTATTGCAAAAGGTGCTGCTGTCTTGCTGCAGGAGAGAAGACTGGTAACTGTAGCAGGAGGGGCAGCAAGTGCACCCCCTTCTGCATCACTCTTTTAAGCCCTGCATCATTTTCACATTTTGGGACTCAACTTTTTTTTCTTTCAGGCTTGGGTTCTGCCTGTAGCTCAAGTGGAGCAAAATGGTTTGGCTTTGAATATAAGGAGTGTCAGGACCATGTGCTGTCCCAGTAGAAGAAACACTTCGACTTTCTAAATGTGCCTCTGGCAGGAACAGGCAGTGGCCTCAGCATTGCTGTTTGGCGCTGAGCAGGCCCAAGCTCAAATCTGTGTGGAAAATTGGAGTGAAAATCCCATTCCAATGAATTGATGTGTGAACCTCTGAAAATCCTGCTAGACAACCTCCACCCCCATGCAGAGGACCCTTGGGGAAACCTCTGCATCCCCTTACATCCAAAGTTAGACCTCAGACTTTTTAAAGTGCTTTTATTTTCTTGGTCTACCAGTTCTGATCTGGGATAAATTACCAGGAGGTGCAGGATGTGGTGGATAGCGGGCATCGCTGTAGAAGCTAGTAGTTCTTCAGGGTTGTGTGTATGTGGTGGGCTGGTCTTGCCACATGTAAGCTGCTGTTGCTGTCCCCACGGCGGGGTGGGTAGGGAAGCTGGCCACAAAGCCTGATCCAAGTTGCAGACCAGCAGCATGGCTCTTCCTTCCTACGGCGGGTGTCGGAGCAAGCTCAGTAGCTTTGCAGATCAGAACTAGCTCTCAGCTGGGGCATGTGCCGGCTGTTAGCATCCTTTTGAGTTGAGCGGGTGAAAAATGAAGCTGCCCTGACAGCTCCCCATGTGTGGCCAGCTTGCCCTGTCCTGACTTGTGCACGTTGCTTGTTTTGCAGATTGGGAGCTTGGAGAATTATTACCACTTTCACCACAGCAAGACGTTCAAGCGGTCGACGGTCGGCAGCAGAGGCCCACACACCTTCCTCCGGATGGATCCCAAGGTACAGCCAGGGTTGGCAACACGACTCACTTGGGAGCCAGGCTCCCTGGGTAATGACTTCTGCAGTCCTCCTTGCCTTGCCCCGGAGGGGGTGGAAGGCTGTAAGCAGGCAGTAAGGCATTGTGTTCTGCCAGTCTTGCCATTGCAAGTCCCTTGGCTCTGTTGGGCAGAGGTGCTGCAGAGGGGTAACAAGGCCTTCAAGCCAGGTCCTTCAATTTTTTTTTTGGGTTGTTTCTGTTGCAAGATCTCTGTGCATTGGGAAGGGAAGGAGTCAATTCCACATTAGGTCTGCATGCCCTCTCTCTTCTGCATTTGTTGGCCTCATTGGGTTGGTCTGGGGCAAGATACCATCCCTCTGGTGATAAAAGCCCAGTGGTGGAGATATTACAGATGATGTTCCCAGGCACTGGTAGATCCACAATCTCATTTTTTTTCCTTCCTGCAAGCTACAGTACATAACATTACCAAGCCTCTTATACACAGCCGCTTGGGTGCATTTCTTCGCAAATGGCGCCACTCTGCCTTCTGTTCCGGCCAGGGGGGTTTAGGGGAAACCTTCAAATGCTCTTGGGGAAAAAGCCTTTAGACCAGGGATGTCTTGGAGGGCATGGCACTGATTTGTTATCTTGCTCAGCAATGGAGTATGCAGACCCAGGCTCTGCCACTTTGCGGATGTATTAAGCCAGTATGCATTTACAGCTCAGGGACCCTACACCAAGTACAAACATCTTTACAGAACTTTTCAAATGTTGGTGTTCGCATTAAAGGATAAATATATTCCCTGCACCCTACACTGTGTAAAGGGCATTCTCTCTGTATCCACCTGACTTTCATAGATATTAGGGCTGGAAGGGACCTCAGAAGATCGAGTCTAGCCCTACGCACATTTTGTTGAATAATGCACATAAATACTGCAAAATATAAAGCCCTGTTTCCACTAAGCTCAAGAGCAGGGAAAAAATTGTCACACCTCCAGGATGTGCCTCTCAGCCTTGACACTGCTTTGGATCTTTCTCTGCCCAGCTATAGTTAACTGCAGTGTGGTTGATGACATACTAAGTACCATTGTGAATATTCAGTGCTTAATAGCTGCAACTTTTGTGAGGTTTCAGAGTGAACCATATATTTGAATAGGGTTTGCCCTGCAGAGCATGTTTTCTTTATTTGCAGCTTTTATAATTGGACATGACTGTAAATGCACTGCATTTCTAACATGTTATCCTTGAAATCGCAGCACTGTGTGCGTGTGGTGACTCATCTGACAAGTGTGTTTTATCACTGAGTAATACATCAAAAGGACTAAGCACTAACATCCGCCTGAGAGGGGAGGATTGAAAAGCAGGATAAAGAAGATCCTTCCAATATAGAAATGGTGCTGCGTGCTCTGGGTGTTGAGCCAGTTGCCATAACATGTGCTGTCTTTTAATGGTTGCTATGTATGAAACCTTTGGCAATAAGCACATTACACTTTTTTTTTTTAAAAATTTTTCCTAGAGCAACCTGAGAAGGTTTAATTCTGGCATCATTGCCAAAGGTACTTGAGAGAAGAGTTTTTGAGCAAGTGAAATCTTTGCAAGCACTTATCATGCCTGGGGAAAACCATTATTTTTTCCCTGCCATTTAGTTAAAAAAAAAAAAAAAAAAAAAAAAAAAAAAAAA